CGCCCCCAGCCCCGCGCTGCCGCGCGCCCCGCCGCGACCCCCTTGATCCCGGCCCCCGCTGTCTTAGGGATCCCGAAACCCTTGAACAAAATGGCGAAACCTAATATGGCCGTTCCGGAGTGATTGACGCCCAAATAACATTCTCCATGTCTCTTTCTCTTTCTCTGTCTCTCTCTCCGTCTCTCTGTCCTTGTGCGTGTGTTTGTGTCCATTCCGTTTTTCTTTTTTTTCCCCCCGTGTTTGTTTTCAGACCGAGTGTGTCAGCAGCCGGGACTTTCTCTCTGGGTTCCCTTCCAGAACGCAGCCACCGCTGTCACCAACCTCTACAAAGGTAAAGATAACCTTGGTGCATTGCTGGTGAAGGGGCGGGGCAGCGTGTGTGTCTGCGTTCCGACCGTGTTTGCTGGTGCTCCCGAGTGCGCCGCTAACCTTGACTACTTTGCAATCTGAGAATCGCAGCGATGTCCTCGCTTGATCCACTGGAGGCGATTTTGACACCCCCCAGCGCCTCACCCCTTCCCAGGGGACCTGTGGCAGTGTCCGGGGACATTTTTGGTTGTCATCACTGAGAGGGGGCTGCTGTTGGCATCTAGTGGGTGGAAACTGCTCATTTTTCTTCGGTGTCCAAGACAGGCCTGCCTGGACTCGACACTCAGCCAGGAGTTTTGCAGCTCTACAGTCTTTAGTCAAATGTTGGGAGGCCTTGAACTGGAAAATGGGTGAGACCCCCTTCTCTTGGAAAATTCATCAAGAGAAAAAGTTTGTTTTTGTGCCACATAGGTGGGACACTTGGGACGCTCAAGATTCTTGAGGTAGGGAGTTTAGAGCATGGTGTGCGTATTAACATCTGCTCTCAGTTAACGATTTCATCATATTTTTCTTCAGATTCTGTTGTAGCTGATTGTAAGTTGTTGCCAGGAAATCTTTAGTTTTGAATGGATGTATATGTGTTTCCTCGTGGTGCGTTCTAGGGTTCACTTTTTCTCCGTGTCATAAAGAGGGATATGTAAATGTTCTTGGCCCATTGAGCTCTCTTGCCGTCGTAGGTTTGGATTTTGAGCCTTACAGATAGGAAGATTTGGAAATCTGGCTTTGATTTTTGGCAAGGTTTTTATGGAAAAAAGGATTTGACTCTGACTGTTAGTCTTAATAAAAATGTAATTAACTGCGTTAAAAAATATCTAGGAGTTGCTAATAGTGATGGAATTTTGTGGATTCACAAATAATCAGAATAGGGTGAGATGGACTATGCATTATCTCTTAGATTTTTAGACCTTTATTTTTGTTTAAGAATATGTAAGTGGCCGGGCCAGGAGACACATGCCTGTAATTGCAGCACTCAGACTGAGGTTGAGGCAGGAGGATCGATTGGAGTTTGAGGCCAGCCTGGGCTACTTAACTGAGTTCAAGGCCGACCTGCACTAGAAAGTGAGACCCTGTTTCAGAAAATCAAAAGTGACCAAACAAAAAGAACATGCAAATGATGGCAGCATTTTGTAGGACATGTCCCTTATGGGATTTCTTGAATAAAGTGTACTTTTGGGGGAAGAAGTTTTTGGAGACAGGGTCTCACTAGTTCAGGCTGGCTTTGAACTCTTACACAGCCCAGGCTGGCATTGAACTCAGTGCAATTCTCTTGCCTCCGCCTCCTGAGTCATGCCTGGCTGGGGGAAGTAATCTTGAGAACTTTTTTTTAAAGCAGGGTTTTGCCATGTAGTTCAGGCTGTCCTGGACTTAAAGTATGTCACCCAGTCTGGCCTCCCAACTCCGAGCGATCCTCCTGCCTCAGCCACAGTTTTGAGTGCTGGGATTACAAGTGATCTTCCTCCTCTTATTCCGAGTGCTGGGGTTACAAATGTGCTACCCGGTTTGAGAACTGTTAAATTGGTGTGAATAAGAATGGTAATTTTAGGGAATGAGGAACTAATAGTTGCTTCTTAATGAGAAAAGGGAAATAATTTAAGTGTTGCCTCAGTGGTCAGCTTTGATTTTATGTAACTGAGTTTATTTTTTTTCTTTTGGTACTGGGACTCAAATTTAGGACCTTGGGCTTGCGGGGCGGGCACTTATGCCACTGAGCTATATCCCTGGCCCAGCTGAGTTCATTATATATTGACTGCTGAGTAAATGACATTTTAACACCATAGGTGTTGACCATTCCAGGAGTGGTTCTAGGGAAATAATACTTAAGAAACGCAATTTTTTTAGTTTCTTGGAGTATAATTTATATACAGTAAAAAGTCATTGTTTTAACATGTATAGTTTAAAAAAGAGTGTAGTTTGATTTTGACACATACTTTTAACAATGTATCTCTTCCCCCACCTTGTCCCTGGCAACCACTGATCTGACTGCAGTGTAATGTGTAGAGATTTCTCTTAAGAGTTTAAGGTCTGCAGTCTTTGTGTTTGACTTCCACTAAACATAATGTTTTTGAGGTGGATTTTGAAGTAATGTTTCTGAGTTCACATTGCAGGTATTAAAGTGCTTTTTAATTGCTGAGTAGTAGTCTGTTGTATGAAAGTGCAGTACCAGGTTAATCCTTTTGCTTTTGTTGCAGCTGTTTGATTGAAAGGGAAAACAATACACTTTTAGTATTTTCTATGAGCCAGACTCTTTAGCCTAAGCCATATACAGTGTTAATATAAATGTCTTCTAGCTGTTGTGTACTGAATAGATCTTATCTTTCTAGGACTTAAAAGTTTTTTAGTAATGCTCTTCATAAAAGAAGGTAGGCGTAGAAGCTGGATTCTGTTTTTTGTTTTTTTGTTTTTTTTTGGTTTTTCTCCGGTACCAGGAACCGAACTCACGACCTTGCGCTTGCCAGGCAGGCGCTTTGCCGCTGAGCTAAATCCCCAGCCCGAAGCTGGATTCTGAAATAATCCTTAATTTGATTGCTTCATTTGAAAAGGAGTGTACTTTACTAATTTTCTTCGTTTGGAAAATTTAATCAGGGACATTAATTTTATTTTAAGTATCACACATAGTTCTTGGATTGTATAGTTTGGTCTAGTTTTGTGTTTATGTGTTTCTTTTTTAGCATGAAACATCTCTTTTTACTTAATAG